TCTCATACAACAGAAACGATCAACTAGTAGGCCTATGGATATACATATGAGACTGCAATTGCAATGTCAGCTGTTTGGAATGGAATGGGTCCTTTTCAACAGTTCCTTGGTCACATAGATCGCGATTGATCGATACACTATATACCCGTACGCTACAGAAAAAATCAAAGCCTAAATAAAGTCCTAAAGCAGATTCAAAAAATGCCTCAGAAACAACTGAAAGCATAAGTGTGTAAGGTAGAGTCAAGACGATATTTAAAATACTATAGCATAAAATACGTTAGCAGGTTAATTGAGAGCAATTAGAGAACATAAGATTCGCTTCTAAAAGCTTCCACAACCATATACTATGGTGGAGGTAATCAGTAATAGAATAATGAAGCACTCATAACCTGACTTGCTTGACGTATCTGTGACGTCTGAGCGATGGGTAAGGATAGAGGGGAAGTATCTTGTTCTAGACACCGATATATACAGTTTACAAATCCATCGCACGGCGACGAAGCCTATAAAGCGAGTCATTGATTAAGATTTAAAACTTTATCTTGTACATTATATGCCGAATATTGGTGGCTCTAAGTTCATCACTTGACCCCATTTAGCAGCAACCAATAATACCCAATGTTAACACAACAACAGGTGAGTTAGACCTGTTAAAGAACGGAGAGTCCCGAGCGTTTATATATTTGCAGCTTATCGGCCAATGATATTAAATACAATACGAGGTAGTTATGACACCATCGCGACGAAACTGAGGTACTGCAATTACAGCAATTGGTGTAACTGATAAGTCTGCTATCTTTTTCCATATCATACTTTCTATATCATCTGACGCATACACTTATGTGGAATATAATGATGAAAAAGTGAACAATTTTTAAAAGCCAGCAAATACAAACCTGAATCATCTTTATTAAAACATCATTGTTGTCAGCATTAAACATCCACAGGCAAGTAGACAGTCAAAGCAAGCGACCATGAATCGTTTAATACCAGCGCTTACAAAGCGCAAACAGCTACCGAGTTCGATTTTTTACTGAACCGACCTAGACTTCGAGCGGCCACTAGCTAACGTTACCCGCCAGACTCGTTACAGCCGTAATACAGCGTTTCCATAAACGGTGTAAGCGTCGACTACTAAGAAGCGGCGAATACGAGAGAATGTTAGTTGGTTAAGAATCTGTACGGACGTGTTTAGTACAAGTTTCGGACCTTCCGCTGTTACGAGGAAGACAGAAACAGTTTCAAGCGGTACGGTTGAATTTATTTGGTCTTAACTAACCTCAAAAATATTTTCTTTACAACAGTTTTGATCATTTCCGGTAGATATTTTATTGATTAATAGCTGCCTTGTATTAGGTTATGCAAAAATTTTAGTAAACAAAACAGGTGAATACGGCAATCAAGACTTTTGAGAATGAGGCTACAAATAGGCAGATAGATGATCTGATGTTAAACAACATGGACTCCAGGAAAATCCTATTCTAATTCAAGTAAATCTTCTGTAATGCCATTCTACTTTTCAGTAGAAGCTATTACTAGCTCAAGTTACAAGCTCTACTATAGTAAAAGGACTTTCATCTAGAGGATTCTTTTTTCCATATCAACATCCTTCTGCCCCCCGCCTAAGTGGAGTCGGCACAAAGTATAAAACAACGTGTTGATGATACTGGCTAAGATTTAACCGGTCAACTGCCCGATATCAACCTTCCTTGTGAATAAACATCCACAGCAAGGCGCACAAACATTGTCCCGTGTGGGCATCGAACCCACGCTCCCCTGCACCAAACACAAGAGCTTAGCAATGGTGCGGCCAAGCTATCCTCATGGATCGTGTCCTCCTTTACATATTTCTATCTATGAAAGTATCACACGCACCAAGATTTCAAACGGTGGCATCCGTAACGAAAACAAGGTGGGGCAGTTTATCTGGTTACTCTTGTATGTAATTGCAGTACTATATATATTTGTTTACTCTGCCGCGTGCTTTTCGTCAAGCGTCGTGAAAGTGATACATCAGGTACGTCAAGCAGCGAAAGATAAATCTCTATAACGACTCCTTCACTTTCGTGACTCGGCGCCGCTTGGCCAGTTCGTAACTGAGGCTTAGTTCGAAGGCTTCAAATTTCCGCGCTTTGGATTAATCCCTGTGTCGAAATAGGTGTAAAGGTATCACTTCAAAGTATCTATAGATACCTTCAGCAGATATGTTTTAGATCACGGACTAAAAGTACGTCCACCAGAGCAATAATTGGCAGATCCGGCATCTTGTTCTATGTAGGGTCAAAGCCACAACTATTATATAAAAAAGTTTATATTAGAATGCTATATATTTTCATTATTGTCGTTACACGTAAATATTGGACTACTTGATTTAATCGCCATGTCATTAATTGTTATCGCATTATTAATCTTTAGTTTAGTATTTTCATCCTCAAGGCTGTCTGCATATACCTATAGCTTTTTATATCGTTATGCCTGGCAACAAAAGAGCGCCACATTGTAAAGTACGCCGGTACAAATGGGTCTGCATAAAACTTATAATATACCCAGCCCATTGTGCGTTGAGCGGTTAACGCGGTAGGAACTGGTAACATGAGTTCGTTATCACACGTTACCTGGAAACAATGTTGGCTCGGAACCGGGCGTAATGGCGCCCGACATGTACATGCCGTCATGAGAAAACTGCAGACTTAGTTCCGCGTGGCGCTCGATGTTTTACGGAGTTGAATGAAAGAGTGGACGCTCGCACAAGACTTATTTGATGCAAACAAAGCAAAAACTTATTTAATATTGACAATAATTGTGATTTGGAGACTTTTTATGGAAAACAGCCAACTCACGACTGTTTATCTTAAAACGTTTTTTATAATCTAACCAAGAAATAGGAAATAGTCTTAAAATACCAACCAGATAGTTATAAATAACTAATACTGACTCACAGAGTTCACAATCTACATATTATAATGTTGATTTTTATTGATAATACATGCAAATAAACTCACTTAAACTTAAATATGACACAAAATTGGTATGCAATACTCACTATCAAGGCACATAAAACTACACAGTACGCACTTAATACAATACTTAATATATGTACGCTAGAGTATGAAAAGCCTCAAGTATACGCAAATCACGACATAAGCAAGCATATAAAATACAAACAAAAGCTCACAAGTCTTTGTTCAACGGACAACATTATTAAAACGAAATGATGGAAAACCCGTAATAACAAAAGTGACGGGGCTCGATGCCAAGAAAAGTTGGCTCGGTTAATCAGGATAGGTTTTTTTTCCTAGTGCATGAGCAGTTCACTTGAATTTTCCTTCAGCCAATTTGTGTCTTCGTTATTCACTTAAAAAGATAATATTTTTATATTTTATCTTAATCTGACGGTATTTCCGCATTCGGCCCTGTCTCCTGATAACATCAGAGCAGAATAAAATAACGTCAAATGCAGAGCCGTAACATTTCTACATTAATAAATAATTTTCCAGTAAGAAAAATGTTCAATCTTATTTCTACAGAGGGCTCGGGACAGTACTTTCATTTAACTGTAGCCCTGCGAAATATACGAGCAATATCAAATAGTTAAGATAATGTAACGGTGTCTGTGAGCGCGGTCATATGAGTTATTTTTTTTTTGTGAAAGTTGCCAAACGAGCAGACGGTTCACCTGATGTTAAGTGAATACCGCCGCCCATGGACATCTGCTACACCATAGGGTTCCAGATGTGTTGACAAACCTTTTGAAAATTGGGCTCCGACCACCTCACTCACCAGATGAAACGCGAAAGTATTATACTTCCACTTTACGTCGGTCTTCTGTGAGGTCGTGGTACCTTACCCGGACGAGCCTGCCCACTCGTGCAACAGCCGAGGCTGCTGCGCGGCTCTACCACCGTTTTATTTTAATATTAATAGTAATTGTTAATATTAATTTATGTTATAGAGGTTTTCACCTCAAAAGGCATCTAGAAATCGTATGTAAATCATCATCATCATCATTTCAGCCAATGAGTCCACTGCTGAACATAGGCCTCCCCCGAACACTAACACCAAGCACGTTCTTGGGTTCCACCACGTTCCACCTGTATCCGTCGACTTTCCGTATGTAATTGCAGGCGAACACGAGTAAAAAGAGCAGCCCTCAATAGGCCTTGCACAATCCAATTTCCTTACTTGACCCGGGAAAAGACGGGGCCGTCGTATTCGTAGGGTTTCCTCCAACAATCCACGTGAGTAGAAGCGGAACAGTTGCATAGATTTGCACAATACGTTGTTAACCTGTTTGCAATCGACTGTACAGTTAGACCGTTCGCAGTTGAGACGGAAACGGATAGTATTATATGTTTATAAACGTGTAGAAATAAAATCTTTGGAACCTGGTTTAATGAAACCATTTTTTCTACAGTCTGTCCCGTGACCATAAACGCTAGGAAGGGTTCGAAACGACGGGATTTTAAATGTCAAATTAAAACGCGGTAAAATCCATGAAATAATTTCATTTAATCATATATAATATTTGTTTAAAAACAAGAAATCAATATCTTTAGACCGAAGTGGTGATAATATCACTCAAACAATTTGTAGAACCGTCTACAATTTATATTAAATAAAATAGACAAAGATTGCAACACAATATATTACATGCTAATTACATACAACTCTTTGAAGCTGCCTGAAAATGACTTGACGTAAAAAAATTATGAAGAAAATCGATCCATTAGTTGCTTATATTACAAAGAATTTATACAATATGATGGATATACAGAAAATTAATTCGTTCTATCATCCAAATTATTATGTAGCCAGGAGTCATAGCTCATTATTTGTCAATCTTTCCTTTGTTCTTTTTCTTTTCGTCTGTCGCCTATCTTTACTTTAACAATAACACGAATACACTACTTTATTAAACAAAATCATATCAAACATTCAAGCGCGTTAGCCATGAAGACAAAAAACATTATAACCTGTATTGTCGCTGCATTAAATCAGCTCTTTAGAACTCGACCATTACGACCATAGTTCGACCTATCAACAATGACTTCAGGCACGTGCTTTCTCCGCTGAGCAATCACGCTCACAAGCCCGCATACTTTAATCGCGTCGATCGCGAAAACGAGAACCACAGTAGGGGAGATATCGGCGCGTCTAAATGTCATCGCACGCACGGGGCGTAGCCTCAGATGGAAGGCGCAGTTCATCTCTTCTTACAGTTTAACGGTCAATGGTGGTTTAGTTACGCCCTAAGGTCAGGACGCACCCGCGGCCCTACTGCAAGTTTGCGATCCGATCTCGATGTTTACGAGCGTGCGCGAGATGCCATATCCGTTTGTTACAGCGAACATTTAGGCGTAGATAATTTGTTTTGAGCTTAAGAACGCTTACAAATATTGTAAGTCTATCTAGTGTATTGTTATCGTATGGCTGTTTCGGCTATATAATGCAATTTATTATTTAAACTAGCGACCCGCTTCGGCTTATCACGGATGCAATGTATTATATTTACGGTGGTAGGGCCACGCAACAGTCTTCGCTGGTCCATTCTGGCAGGGTTAGTACCACGACCTCATAGAAGACCGGCGTAAAGTAGAATTCACTTCTGCGTTTCGCCAGGAGTGAGGTAGCCGGGGCCCACATTATTAAGAGGTGGCAACGCATCTGCAAGCCAACGGGTGTTGCAAATGTCCATGGGCAGGCGGTTATTACTTAACATCAGGTGAACCACCAGCTCGTTTACCACGTTCTGACATAAAAAAAATACATATAAACCTTTCCCTTGAATTACTCTATCTAATTAAAAAAACCGCATCAAGATCCGTTGCGTAGTTTTAAAGATCTAAGCATACATAGGGACAGACAGACAGCGGGACGACTTTGCTTTATACTATGTAGTGATTTAGTTCATAAACGTAAGTATCAAAGTCGAGACTGTTACCTTTGATGTCACAAACGTTTGTTCAAACATTGGTTGGTTTCTGCTTCAGCCGTCTTATATCACAGAAGCCATTAGCTTTATTGTTTGCAGAGTCCGTTGGCTTGTAATGAACGCAACGTTGTATAACTCGCGACTGTTTTATTGTTTGATATGGGTACACCATTATTTCCTGTGAATGCGTTTTCATAATTTACAGGTCCCTTTCCCACCGTCTACGATTCCAAATGAATAAAAAATATTATATGTAACATTTACAATTATTAAAATTCATTCATCATCCTCCTGCCCTTATGCCACTTTGATGGGGTTGGCACAACATGAGGATCGTGTTGTAAGTGGTTTTGGCATATTTTTACGACGGCCGCCTTCCTGACGTCAAACACGACAACAACAACAGATCCGGAACATTACATTCCTCCGAAGATGGCGGTACAATTATTTATAACTATGACCAGGTAACAGGATGATCAGATTGACCAAAATAGGGCCACTGTAGTATACTACTTGATAATCGGTTGCAATATCGATTAGTCTGGTCATTCATTAGAATATAAGACACAAATAGTTGTTATTTTCAAAACAGTTTCTGGTAACGGCAAACGCTTTAGCCACGCAATAGCCACGAAGCTAAGCAGTCCATACTAACCGCGCGCAAAACGACGCCTTATCTGATTTGTTTCTTATTATTGCATTTTTAGCAACACAATAATAAAATGGCGTCAATAACTTATCTTAATGCTTTTTAGGCGTTGCGTTCATGAATATTTTTACATATCTTTTGTGCCAATGCTGCGTCGTCATGGTGAATGCGAGACGCGGACCAATGGTACTACACGTCACGAGCGTTCACTAACTCGCCCCATATCGAAGTTTAATTGATTCGTGTCGAGATAGTGACGTGCGGACAGAAAGAAAGCATATTAATATTATGCGTACGTTGCGCGATGAGATTTATTACTTCGACCCGTTCGACTTTCTATAGTAATCTGCGCGCGGATCTCGCATTGTTTCCGATAGACGACCGCTCCGATACCTACTAACATTTGCGTGACGCAATTTTATGTGCACTGTTAAAACTATTCGGGAAGTTAATTCCTTTAGATACGAAATGAAAGTTGGCATTTAGGGTTGTCAAACGTGTACGACAATGGATCTTATACTGCACTCCAAATTACAAATAAGATGCTTGTAAATTTACGATTAGCTCTGTTCTCTCTTTTCTTTAAAATAATAACAATAATAAAATAACCTATAATAATTGATTAGTTGGCGCAAATTTTATTTGACTTAGAGCAAATCTTTATGAATTCTGGAAATAAATAAGATGGATATTTATTTCTTAAGAAAATCACTTGTATATAGACATATACAAAAACTTAAATTTTGTACCACGTTAAGTGTAAACACTAAGAGATAATAAAAAAGAAACCTGTTGATGGTGCAGTTAGACAATTGTACCGGCTATACAAAATGATTGCTTTAGTGTTTATTAACCTATAACACCTACGTTTACAAGGAAATACAAATAACGATTAATGATAAAGAAATGATATGTCTGTGAAAGGGGTCGGTATTGAGATGACGGCTGATAGAGGAAAGTGGAAGGAAAGGACATGCTTATGTAGGATAAGGGCAGAAGAGAACAGAAGAAAAGAAGATAAATAAAAAAAACAAATAAATAAAGTTCACAGTTCTTCTGTATTCGAACACGAGACGCGTACTGCGGAACCTCCGAATAAGGGAATTCTTTCATGTCCCTGGTCGGATAATCGTACAATATTGTCGATCGTTACTTTAATGTTGCTTTTATCGAGCATTTCTTTGGTCGGGGTAATTGTCGGGGCCCGTTATTTGTGCGTTTAAAGACGCCAAGACACGCGAGAGAAGCGGGGGTCGCGCTTGTGTGAACGGAATCTAAGGTCAAATAATTCTCGTCTTATTAATGCAATAACAAATCGTCCCGAGATAAAACGGTCATTAACGTTGTCGTTAGATACGGTAGAGAAATGCGTGTAGTTAACGAATAATAAACACTTCGAATAAGATCTTAATTTCATTGATTAAGTGATTCAATCGAGAGGTACGAATGAGACGGAGCTTGTTTTTTTAAATATTAAATGATACGTAGGTGTATCAGTTAAGTTTTATCTGTAGTGAATATACTGTTTAACACTAAGAAAAGTTCACTCACGACGATTAAAACGTCAAGTTTTTAATAATCATAATTAAGAATAGTAATATATTAACCTCACAATAAAGTTGTAGATGCTGTTTCAATTACTATTTAGGGTAAGAATTTGTATGTATGTCACCTTTTAGTCTCACCATATAGCCCTGATAAAGCTTGATAGCTAAGATACGGTAAAAGCTTACTATCGACGTACGTTAGTAAGCTTTTCTCGTCCAGTCATTGACTGGCGTCTTAATTTGAATTTGGAAATTTAACAAATATGAACAACAAAGACATGAATATAGAACTCCTTCCAAAATTAACGCGAAGAGTTTTCTGAACAAGTATTTCAAAGGATATTTGTTTTAAAGGACAATATGTGTGTAATTATACACGCACATAAGTTAGCGTCTGCTAGAGGATCGGGCAGGCGTTGTCCTGTAAATAAACAAAAATAAAACTAATTGTGAATCAAAACCATTCTCGAATCGACCTGAAGATACAAAACATTTCATTAAAATCGCTTAAAGTTCAGTGACATACACACGTACAGTAGAATTATACAGGGTGTCGTTACCATCGCGACAATAAATGAACACACGTCTAACGCTACTTGCCAATAATCATAAAAAAATATTAACGTTAAACAAAATCCATAATTAAAATAAAATATTTTTCAAACAAACTAATTAAGTAAAAAAGAAACAAAATTTATAACATCCTTAACAACTCGCGCCACAGCGTCGCATTACAAGCCTCTCCTTCTAACAGTTTGTTTTGTCTCTTTTAAATTCGTCACGAAGCATATGAATGTGCTTCGTGGCCTTTACAAATGAACTTTACGTTACAGTTTTATACGTAAGGGTGTTCTAAAATTGTTTGTTTTGGAAATTTTAATAACTCGGTAAATATTGATGTTTAAAGAATGTAAATGTATAATACAATTTTAAAAAGTTATCATCTATATGTGTGTTCATTTATTGTCGCGGTGGTACCGACACGCTGTATATATAAAGATAGCGTAGCTAAAGAAAAATAACTAAAAATGTTGTGTCATAGTTAGTAATAACGGTTTAATTAAATAATTAGCAGATATAGATAAATTTCATAACGCTGTTGTTCGCTGTCGTAAGTAACGAATAACAATTTCTTAACATTTTCACCAAAATTGTGCGCATGACAAAAATTATCATAATTTTGCCCAAACGCGCCAAAAGTACAACTTCAAAATGAAAACGACATCGTTTTCTGCCCCGCGTGCTTTAATCGTCACAGAGTTGGCACAGGTCTACGTGGATATTTATTCGAAAGCGATAGAAAACATAATCCCCTCTCATGTCTTTCAATTACTACGGGAGTCAGTTAGGTTTACGTTGCCCGCTAGTCCGCATTTAGGCCGTAGCGCGGCCGTGAATTATCACAAGCGGACGTCATTACGGTCACGAACCGTATTGAGAGGGCCGCTCGCCAAGATTTACGGACGGCCCCTTTATCATCCGGTACATTAGCATGCTTACAAGGCAATTTCTGTGTGTGCAAAGGTTAATTGAAGAATACGCGGCGCACACCATCATTTTGCGGGGCGCAAATGATGGATAATTTATGCGGAGAAATGCTAATATCGCTTTTAGAGCGATCGAAAGCGATGCAAAGACGATTCTTAATTTAAAGCATACTAATTTGCAAATGTAATGACACGACATCTTAACATTAATTAGCTAAATGTTGGTTTCCATAATAATATACTGTAGTTCCCCCCACAACAGTTTAATAATATTAGAATATAATATTTGGAGCTATAAAAAATGCTACATAATGAAAAAATTCTATTGTTCTGTTTTTTTTTTTTTTAAATGGCCCTCACTTTAGGATAATGTTATCCTGTGTTGTAAGGACGTTTTGCAAACATAAATTGCACGAGGACAAACTCCCAGATGCAAAACAACTATCTGTGGGTCGCACAAATAGTTGTCCCGTGTGGGAATCGAACCCACGACACCCGACGCCGAAGCCAATGCCTTGGCTACTGCCCCACGGAGTCATCATCGATTATTTGCCATGGAGTATTTCTCACAAACAATAATTATATCTTTGTT